CAGTTGAGGTTCCCTCCTCTTAGATGACTCTAGCTTGTGTCAAGTTGACATAAAGCTAGCCTGCATAGTCTGCTTCAATGACTAGATGAGAACTCTATGTGATTTTCACAAACGTCATTCGCACGGAAAGAGATCTTGTGACTATTACACAAAGGCTTTTGGTATCTAAGAATAGGGCATCTCTCCAGGAAATGATTTGATTATGTATTCACTTAAATCACTTAAAAAATGTTGTGCCAGGAAGAAATTGATTCTACATCTGAAGGATGCTAAGCTTACAACTAACTCCTCAGACAACAGGGGTATTTATGTTCTCATGGTGCTCTGGTCAAATCCAGGATCTCAGGCTGGTTCCGAAATTGTCTAACCACTAAGCTGCATCGCCAGTGCTTTAAAATTAATGAAGCCCAAACAATGAAGTACCAATGCACTACAAACTTCTATGATGGTGTTTTATAAAGAGCCCTCCTTGGAGCAATTTCCTTGTCTTTACTGAGCTACATGCAGCATTGTAACTGCACCATGTTGGTCCCTCCACTTAGAGACATCACACATCCCAACTCACCCAGCAAAATCCTATTGTCCTCCTGTAAGCCCGGTGCTGGAACAGAGCTAAGAATTGGTTAGACAAAAGAATGTGCATTCGAGATGACAATATTTCAGTGTGATGATTTGCTAGGTAATGAAGCTAAATCATTTGTTAGAGAGGATTTTCCTAAAGCTTTGCTTCAGTACTATTGTCATCTTGCATAACATCTGGAAATCCACTCACTGCTAGATTAGTGTGTTTCTTGGAAGCTCAAAGAGATAGAAACACAGACAAGCTTCTTGAATTTGCCATTCCTGTCCGATTTTGCTCTTCTGGTTTTGGGACAGGGTTTTACCACGTAGCTCAGGCTTGCTTAGACTTACCATGTGGCCCACACTGCTCTCAAACTTGAGAGTCTCTTGCTACAGCCTTTCAAGTGCTGGGATTATGTGTCATCATGTCTGATTTACCACTGCTTTCCCTTGTAAATGTCCATTGGAGTCCTGACTCAGGTCAAGACATGTGCAGACACAGAGTATGTGTAGCTTTGATAATCTCCATAGTAAAACTTTGGTAACATGGACTCTGTTGCTGTCACTGAAGTCACAGATCCACTACTATTATAACCTTAAGTAGTTGACATAATTTTATTTTATAGCCTGAATGGAACAAAAGTCATTATGTCATTTATTTTGCTCTTTGTAACCTGGAAATTCACATGAACTCTCCTCATACATTTCTTTGACACTGTTGTGAGGGTCTGAGAAATTATCAGTGTAAACAGTAGACTGTTTTCGTACACAATCCAAACACTTCATATGTCTACTTCTTCCAACCACTGAAAAGTGGATGATGGCTTAATGGCAACAGTGCTTGATGCACAAATGTGGGGAATGGAGTTTAGGACCCTAGGCCCTAGCTAAATTTCAGGTGACATGGTGGCCCACCTGTTACCCCAGCACTTGGGAGGGGTTACCCCAGCACAGGGCATCCCTAGAGCCATTTGGCTAGCTTGACTACCTAATTTCATGAGCTCAGTGTATGAGATGAATATCAATGAAGATAAATCTTAGAAGATACCCAATGTCAATCCTTGGCAACACATGTGTACCCTAACACATGCAAATTTATACACACAGAGACACACAATCAGAGATACACACACAAAGACACAGACACACAGACACACAGACACACAGACACACAGACACACAGACACACACACACACACACACACACACACACACACACACACACACACACACACTGTACCTTCCCATAGTTCTGTAGCTAGGAAACTCTGTATACTAGTTGGAAGGCTGTTTGATGAAAGTCTTTCTGGAATGTAAGTTTGGGTTGGCCAGTCAGAGCATGCTTTCTAGGCTTGTGACATGCTTGTCATTAGAGGCCACAGTACACGACTATAAAATGAAACCATCTGCACAGCTTGCAGACACTCAGTCCTCATCTTGATCCTAGCTCCCCAACATCCTGCCAGTTGTATCAGAGCTCTGCTTTCCAGAAATTCCCCACACCTTCAATACTGTTTCACTTATATGCAAATGTACAAAATACCCCACATGTTCTTATTCTTTAGTAAAATAGTTATTTCCACAAACTACTGGAGCTGGGAGAAGTATGGCTTAATAAAACAATGTGTGATACCACTAAAAACAATTAGTAAATTACACACACATACACAAAACCAAAGGAAAATCAATCAGAATCCTATTATCCAGAGTTAACCAATGAAACATTGGTAAATACCTCTATAGTTTTATTGTATGCAAAATAACATTTTTTAAGATTTGAGATAATATAAAATCATTTGATGACTTGCTTTCTTTAAGAATCCTAACACCAATTTCTCTGTATAGTTCAGTGTGTAAAATGACCCCAATTTATCCTTTGTTGGACACCATGATTGCTGTAAACTATCAGTAATGTTTTCTTATCAATAACATCCTAATTGGTGTTTTCTTTTATAGAAATATTCTACCTATATTTTTCTTGATGGCTAACTAATTAATGATCTGGGCCCTGCTCTTTGGGCTGAAGCTACCGGCTAGAGGAGAGCTATGAATGGCTGGGCACTGGCTTTGTGTTCTAGAGAGAAGCTAGGACATGGACAATTTCAGCAGATGACTGATTATCTCTTCACAGTCACCTGGTGATCAAACTACTGTTCCCAGGAGAGGAGAATCAGAGGGGTGATGCCATGTAACCCACACTTTAAATGTGCATATCTCCATCCAGCTCAAGGCAGGCTCTTTGATAAAATTGCATGGAGAAGGTTTTACAGGATTTACAGGGCTGTGCCTGCCTGAGCTTTGAGATACCAAGAGCACATTTTGTTCACTAATAGAAAGCACATGCTTTTTACATTTGTAAGGCAAGAGAAATATTGACTCATTCATCCTTGAACCAAAACTGACACGATAAAATTCTCACGGGCAGATGATAGATTTCACAGTGTCTGCTTTATCCACTCTGTGTCTTCAATGCCTAGCCCATTGCCTGGCCCAAAGGAGGTACACAGATATTTGAGGAGTGGAGACAAAAAGCAAAGTGAAAATATCTCATTTCAATTGCCAAACAAGTCTTGGCCCCACTTGTGTGAGGCGTGAGGCCCATGCAGGTACGTTTCTTCAGTTGTACTGCGTAATTAGGGGAAGCAATAACACCTGTGTCTGCATCTGATCTGGGTGCTCTGTCAAGATACATTTTTCACTTCGTTGGTTGTAGCACATTTAGGTCTGCAGTTTGATACATTATTTTCCTGGAAAAGAAGCTGCTTCCCAAAAGATCTGCTTGGGCTGAAGATCCTGTTTCTTTCGAGTGATAGCCAATTACCCTGGAATTCCCATTAGCTTATGGCACTGCAGAAACACTTAGAAACTTTTAGTGGCTCAAAATATTGGACCTTTGTGAGAACTGGGCAGGGTTTTCTCTGGTAATCAGTCGTACTATGAGGTACAGCCTCGAGGGATAAAAACATGAGTGAATTTATGAAGTGCATGTTGAACACTGACTTTGTACTTGGTAGCAGAAATGAAAAGACACTCAAAGGTGCCTAAACCTGTTCAGGATTGTCATGTGCTTGGAGTGGCTATGGAGACTTGGGTAGGGACCAGAACCACTGCAGCTGAAAATTCATTTTGATGGAGATGATGAGTTGGAGGTGAGGCTATTCTTAGGCACAGTTTTTGGGATGAGTAGGAATTAGTGGACAGAAAGACAAAGCAGAGGATTTTTAAAATAAAAGCAATGCAAGTGGATACATGAAAGGGTGCCACACCTCTGGGGCAAGTGATGCCTCCCAAGCAGTGGGAGCAGAGGCTTTGTGCCCGTGATAGGAGGTTTTCAGGGCCAAGTGTTGGGTGCATCATGCATCGGTCACTATGGAGTGTGCTGTATGGACAATGACAGTTTTGTTAAGGGCCCCCGCTCTTCAGTCATTGATGCCATTGATGTGAATAAAGACCTTTCTTTCCTACAATACTCTTGATTTTCTTTTTGTTCGGGATTTTCAGTTTTGCTGTATTATCTCTTAACCCAGATGGCACAATGGTCCAAGCATCTGTATAATATTTATGAATTATCTTCTATTCATTTATTAATTGCTATTTTCATAGACAGGGTATTTTCAATATTCTCTTATGTGCAACTTTGTATGTGGCAGTGAAATCTAGGTTTGGTGATTTTCCTTATTTTAATATATATTGATAATGACTTATGGAACCAGCTCTACAAATGATCTTTACAATTCATGCACGAAGTGGATCAAGTGTACCCCAAGAGACACTGGTGTGGCTAAGCCAGAGCTGTAGAAGGGACTCGTCTCTGCAAATTCCTTGGGAAGTTCTGTGCAGATTCCTGGGAATGTAACTCAATAAAGGCGGCAGATGAGGAAGGCAGAGCTGTGGATATCAAGTGAAAAGTTGGTAATGTTGTAGCTACTAATGGGAAAGTCTAAAGTTCTCTTCCTTTTCTTGTTTGAGACAGAGTCTTTCTTTACAACTCAGACTGGCCGTGAACTCATGATCCTCCTGTTCCCATCTTTAGGATACAAGCATTACAGTGTTCAGCAAAGCTCTTGTTTTAAAGTACTTAAAAGCATATGCATAATTTGTTTAAAAATACTTTCATTTTCTATTGAATAAGCAAATGTGTGTTTGCTTTAAAATTCCTATTCCCAGATATATAATTGCTGATATCAATATTTGTTTCCCCATAAGTCTGTTTGTACACAGTGGAATATAATTTTTGTAGTCTTCATGTCAGCTTGAATTTAAAAGGTTCTATGGTTCGTGTCTGCAATTTATGCCACCTTTCACCAGTATTTTGCAGAATAGTAGCACTTTGAGGGATGTAATGCAAAGGTCATGCCGAATTTGTAGTCCATTTGAAAACTATGGGGCTGAAGGAATGCCTGTGATCAACAGCTTTCCCCATTTTGCTTGTCTTCTAGGTAACAATGGCCAACATTGCAATAAACGGAAGTAATTCCCCAGTGACCTGTGAAACGACACTCTTTGCTCTCCGAATGGCCACGTGGAATCAGATCTTGGATCCCTGGGTCTACATTCTGCTCCGGAAGGCTGTCCTTAAGAACTTATATAAGCTTGCCAGTCACTGCTGTGGCGTGCACATCATCAGTGTGCACATCTGGGAGCTCAGCTCCATCAAGAATTCCTTAAAGGTTGCTGCCATTTCTGAGTCACCAGCTGCAGAGAAGGAGAGTCAGCAAGCATCCGTTGAAGTAGGACTGTAGGCCAACGCAGGGCTAGAAGAAAATTGGGGAAAGATTTGGAAACATCTCAGCTGATGGGATACATAGCCTAACTGGAACATTTGGACCTCACTGTGTAGTTTGGGAGTACACTGGACTGACACAGCTTCCGAATATTGTTACACTGGCTGTTGCTGCATGGTTGTGCCTTTTCACTTGTTGGTTTTTGTCAACAGGAGGTAAACTGATGCAATACGGTGGAGTTGAGTGGAACACAACTTTTTGAGTTTAGCTGTGTGACTTGTGTTTTTGGAATAAACGTATCCGTTGAGGCCCAATGAGGATGAATACTTGACCTGTTTGCTCAAGACACCTTAATGCTACCTGCACCATGAAATGGCCATTTCATTGACGTATAGACAAGGCTCAAAGTAACACGAGACTCTGCACTTGTTTGTGTGTGGGGTTCTCGTGAGTTTACCAGTCCACACAGCCTTAATCAATGTCTGCATGACCAAGGCATCTGAGATTCACAGTGCTCGTGATGGCCACTACATACGCTGTGTTAGCCTGACCTCATGAGGCTGATGAGCATGGCCATTCTTGTCACAACTGACACATGTACTTTCTTGCATTTGTTGTTTTGAAGGTCAACCATTGTTTGAATTTTTCTCTATAAAGTAATAGAGTATCAGTGTTTAAATGGTCTCGCTTTCCTCTGAAAATTACAGAGAAACATGGGCTTTATCTTAGCACAGATTCAGCTCCTGATAACGTGCCCTATCATGAACTATGCAAACCATCTAAGTCCCAGTGATACATGCCAAGAACATGACAAATATTGCTTTACCTGAGCTGTCGTTTCTGTGTCAGAGAATAAAAGAAAACAATCACATATCCAGTCTGCCTGCAGCTAGTGTGCTTCTGCTTTACAAGCACAGGCAATAGGAAGTTCTGTTGACAGCAGTTTCACTAAATCTGTCAGACCACATTTTCAAAAGCCTGTGTTATCAGTGTCTAGGGGAAAGAGTTGGCGATCCATTGTTATAGTTAATCAGAGACCAAGGGATAAGACTCTGTCTCCAAGTTTCCCAATCCTAATTCACACTTCTCCTTTGCTTTTTTGTGTAATTTAGCATAAAGGTTTTTAATTTCAGTAACCATTCTAAGCATTGTAGGTCCATCAGTGACTAGAGTTAGTGGTTTTGTTTTACAAAGAAATACATTTTTTTAAAATATTTAAAAGTTCTTGTTTTCATCAGGTTTGGCTGTATTTTAAAAAAAATACTGCCTTTCCCCCAACTTTGCAATGTGTGTGGGTGTTTTGCTTGAATGCATTTCTGTATCTTTCTGGCACCGACTGAGACCAGAAAATGACATCAGATTCTGTGGGACTGGGAGTTACAGACAGTTGTGAGCTACCATGTGGGTGCTGGGAATTGAACCCAGGTCCTCTAGAAGAGTAGTCAGTGCTCTTAACTGCTGAGCTGTTCCTATAGCCTCTAAAAGTTGTTTTTATCTGTAAAAAATGATTTCAGATTCTAGGAACACTGAGAATTCAATGAAATTAAATTAGTAATTTTTATAAACTGCTTTTGATTGGCAGTTTACATTAGATGTGATTAATGATTTTGGTAAATTCTCACGAGTAAATTAAAAGAAATTAAACAAGTAGCCTTGCTGAAGGCTTAAAGGAAATTATTTGTAGTGAATTAATGAAAAGGAATTCATACTAATATGTGATAATCTTAACTTAAAGACGATAAGAGATCAATCACACAATTTATTCCTATGTGGAGAATATGTCAGATAATAGGCAACAAGATCCTGGTGTAAATTGGGCAGGAGTTGTAAAGGTTGTGTCCTATTTAAAGTTAAGCTGACAACTGCATGTTGGTTATTGTGGTGTATATATGTAGACATGTATGTATGTGTGTTTGTGTGTACATGCATGTGTAAATGAATTTGTGTGTCTATGTATTGTATGTGCATGTATATGTATAATGCATATGATTGTAAAAAGCCATTACAATTAGTGATTGTTGTTACTTTACATAAATATTATCATGTTTAATTTCAAGAGCACTTAAAGCTTGGAAAAACTTCTGGATGGTTCACTTATTTTTAGAGCAGATATTTATTTCCTTCAGTGATAAGGTGTTGACATCCTGTAAACTGAGGCACAAAGAAGCAAATCTCCATCTTTCTCCATCATAGTTGATAAAACTCTGCCATTCACATTTCCCTGCATTTCAACTGAGAAAAGGCACTGAGAAGGAACTTGCTCCAAGGTCCCAGGTCCCTTCTCGGTGAGTCTCTACTACAGACAGAATTGTTCTCTATTGCTGTGATGTCACCCTGGCTATGTGCATCTACAGTGAGATCATCTTGTGATATCATCAGGTTGTGGAGGCAAGGCTCTGGGAATGGAGGAAGGAGTTAATCTGTGCAGATTTGTCCATTGTACCTGAGCAAACTTGTCAGACATTTTAACTGATCTTAAGATGAGGCTAAACCCACAATGTAAACCAAAAAAATTTTGAAAAAAACTTTAATGTTACACCTGACTCCAAAATTCTGTGTGTTATTGTAGCTGTTGTATAGAGCTTACTTACAGCGCAGTTTGCTGTGTAATGAGCAATGGAAGGGAACATTCCCTGATAGCTTCCTGAGTTATCAGTGTGAATAAAAGTGTGTTCTTATTCATTATAATAAATACTAGAAATATTTTCAACAAGCTCACCAATGTGAGTGCTTAAGCTCTGTTTTGACATATATAGTTTGTTTCATGAGGTCAATTATTATACACAACTTCAAGTGTTATTCAAACACTGGGTTTCTGGAGAATAACTTTCTTAAAGGAAAACAAACACTAAACATGGTTGAACTTTTTGGAGTCTTTGTAACTATTTAATGAAAATGGGATAAAATACATGTCACGCTTTCTAAGATTGCATACTGAATTGTAATTAGCTGTGGGTACCAACCAAAAAACATGATACTTGCTGGTGGGTTTAATGAGGGGATAGAAATATTCTAAAGACAGGATGTCTACGAAGTAGGAAATTCCTAGATGCCAACTCGCACATAAGTGGAGATCTGTTTTCTTTTCTCACCTTCAGTCTTAAAAAGCAATGATACCTTGTTTTGTGCCTAATGTGAGGTTAGGACCTAAATGAGGGTACTCATTGGATAGCATGACATTTTATAGAAACGCTGGGTTGCCTGCTTTACTGCAAATGAACTGCTTTCCAGGATCAGATTATGAAAACTGGGATTGTAAAGAATTTACCACCTGGTAAATAGTGTTGGACTTCACCTCATTACTGACACATTTTAGCTGCAGAGGACGAGCAGTTCTCTTGTTATGTGAATGAATGTATTTTTGTGTTCCTCATACTTGTAGTAAAAGAGTAAATGATGGTGCTTGCACTAATATGAATGGCATGCATATTAAAAGCTTTGGCTAGTTTGGTTAGTTAGCTTTAGGAAGTCACCCAAGGGGAAATTTTATTTAAACTTGTAGTTAGATGATAAGCACTTCCGTCTGCTTTGTGTGCTTTGATTACCTCTTCTCCACCCAATCTTCTGTGGCATTTGTGGTTCTTTTATCGGAGCCTCACTTCCCCCAAGAAGATTTCATTGATTCTAAACTCGTGGGGTAGATATTGTGAGGTAGTCTCAAGGTGTCCGTCATGTCAAACAACTTCAAATGCTAATGCCATAATCCTCACAAAGGTTTGGACCATGCCCATGGCTTCTGTCTAGTAAGCAGTGTGGTGCTTGGCCTCATTTCAGAGGACTTAAACATGAATTAGCCACCATTATATGTTTCTATCCATGTCACATGGTTTGAGGTGAGAGAGGAAGATATTAGCTTGCTGGATCTGTTGAAAACTGCCACAGACTGAGCCAGCGACATTAGCTGGACTTTTTCTTACATTTGTCATAGCTAGAAGGATCAGTGTATGGTTAGGGTCTGTCTCTTTGTCTTGTAGGTGTGTCTTTCCCTCGTGTCTTCATGTGATCATCCTTCATGTGAGTTTCTGTGCCTCTGTAGCAGCAGTCAGACTTGAATAAGGATTCGTTCTAGATCCTACCATCAAAAATAATTACAATTTGTACGGCATGTAGAAGGTCACAATTCAGTTGTAGCAGCAGCACAGACATTGAGATGCAGATACAGTGACTGACACATGGGGGCTGAGTCTTAGGTATTGGTGTTCATGCCTAGAAGATGGGTGGTTTCTTAAATTGCTGTGATCTGCTGCCTTGGACTTATTTGGTAAGTCTGGGGTTGTGGGAGGGGAATTTGTTTTACAACAGGATTGCAGATGAGAGTATCAGGCAAGGCTAGTCTGAAGAACACACTTTGGTCTATTTCTATTTGAGCATGTGGCTAACCAGTCATAAGTTGTGGCATGAAATGCACAAAGAACAAAGAAGCTTGTAAAACTGTAAAATTTCAAAAAAAATCTGTAAAATTTCATCACTATTTTCATGCTGGCCATATTATACCTAGCCTGTGTTTTCTCCCCAATTCTAACCAAGTTGAATAGAAAAAAAGTCTGCAGAAAAAAAAAAAAAAAACAGACAAGAAGTTGTATAAAAATGACCCAAGTAGACAGTGAAACAAGGTTTAGCTGGTCTCTAGTCTCTTACTAGTTTCAGAAGGATTGTTCAGAAAGCAGACAAAATTTCTACACTAGACTTTTAGGATATTGTTGAGATTTTGACTTTGTAGCCAAACTTTTCTTTTCTTTTTGTGTCTCCCCCCTCCTTCCTTCTTAAAAGAATTTGAGGTCATTCGGATTGATTTTATGTTTCTCTCTGCAATTCCAATGTTTATAATATTTCTATTATCCTTTGATCTTGGTATTTTTTCACTCCTGTCTAGTCCAGTTGGTTTTAAAATCACTTCCCACTATACTAAAAAAAAATGTTTAATTGGTTGCTAGCTTTCTAGATGAGTTCTGAGTATTTGTTTCTAACTAAGATGACAGAGAGGTTAATATTTTCATGCTATGGTGAGTAAATTATTG